CTGTATCGGGCCAAGGGCCAGGGGAAGCCCCAGACGAACCACTCAATCATTCCCGAGGTCTACCTACATATGTAGGTATACAGCCATATAGTACGGAGTAGAACTGAAGAGTTTCTCAAAAGAATGAAGGATTCATGAATCGTAGATCTACATACAAACAAGTACCTCAGCGAGGCTGTATACGGCTCATTATACATACAATCACCCACACACCCCACACAGATCTATCAAATCAACGAACCTCCTCGGTCCGCCGCTCCGAATCCACGAGCCAAGATCCCCCGCCAGCAGCATGGTTACCGCCAGCGGCACTAAGACTAACGGTCGTCTTCTTCAAATCTGGGAGAACAAGAACCGTCTCGGAATGGTTACGGTAATCGACCTCACAAGGGATCGAGCGACGAGCCGGCGCCATGGAACCAGCGGCATCAGCCGCAGGCGGCGACGTCGGGAGCTGAGGTGCCGATGGGAGGAAGGTACGGATCTCAAGGCCCGGGAGAAGGAGATGACCTGGTTTCTGAGGGAGTAGTAGGACGGTGAAGCGAGTAGATTCACCGTCGCGCGCGAGGAAGTTGCCCCGGCGGCGACCGCCTATTTGCCACTGGTCTGGATTAGCATGCATCTCGTAGGAGCATTCGAGGGGTTGGTCGGCGTTTTCGCGGGTCGCTGGGGAACACCAGCGTCGCGTGTGGCGGAGACATAGCTCGGCGATGATCATCTGGCCGACAGCGGCGTGTGTGGAGGGCCCTGGGTCGGTGGTGGGTTTGGGCTGGAGCTGGAGGTCGGCTGTGTGCACGACTTGGATCTCAGGGACGTCGACGGGGATGATGATGCGGCGGGTTGGAATGGTAGGTTGTGCGGGGAGCTGGATGGTGGTGTTGTTCTGTTTCATATGTGAGCGAAATATAGCTGGCTGGAAACACTGGAGTTGGTTCTTACCTTGTGCCATTCCTTGAGCCACTGTCGTACATCCTCACCCGGTGCTTTCAAAGCTCCGAGTACATCGTCCCATCGCACAGTCTGATAGGGCAGCATGTTTACCTCTCGAATGAGCCCAATGGCTTCCATGTCATTCGTGGACAGCTGCGCGCGGAAACTGTTGACAATGTGCGATGTGAGCAGCGCTGTGTATTGGCGGAATGGACTAGAGCCAATGGAAGCAGCGAATTGCTTTTCAACTGCATCGAGACACTCATCGTCGACACACGTGAAGTCAACGCTCAGTTGTAGGCTACGCGGCGTTGATGCGGCCGCGTTGCCTTCATTGTGGCGAATTTTATAAAGAAGAGACGCGGGCTGCTTAGGGAAGACATCAAGGGCGACGGGGCCGGTGATGCTCGATTGCACGTCGTAAATATCTGAGCTGGGTAGACTGCAGTTCACGATACGAAGCGGGATTAGCATGGCCGGACTGATGGTGAAACGCGAGAATAGTAGTTTATCCTTGAAAATGTCCTGCACGTTGACCGATATAGGTAGTGCTGAAACAACACTGAATGATGCCGAGGAAGCGAATCGGCCTTGTTCGGTCTCATACCCGATCTCTGCTCGCGCTGAGAGGGTAGAAAAGGCCTCCTCCACAGTATAGGGGATACGCAGTCGGACGAATGACCGCGCCGACAATTGCGCGAATTCAATAATGCCTGACTCGTGGTTGGCATCCACCTCGAGCTTGCCATCCACAACTTCTGTTTCTGCAAGGCGAAGCCGTAGGCCTGCAGTAGCTGGCCGGACACGGATCGTACCACTCTTGATATCATTTCGTCCGCTGTCAAGTTCCAGCTCCAGCGTCCGCATGGCCTGGAGGTTAATAAGATGCGGTGACACGATCTTAACCTGTAAGGCCTCGGCCGGAGGGTAGCAATAGATGTAAGGCTGGTAGTCCGGTTCCTCTGAGCCTTCCGCTTCGCGGAAGCCGACTGGAAGGGCGGAGTCTTGCCCGCCGTTGAAGTTAAAGACAAGGTTGCCAGCCCTCATCTCGAGCCGGTCAATGAAGTACTTGCCTTGAAGTGTGGTCTGCATAAAAATTAGCTATTGGTAGTAGAAGTCTCCTCGAGTACCTTACCGAGCAGTCAATCAATATCTGTGTTGATGATGATTCCACCACGAACTTGGCTGAGCTCTCGATCCAGTGCTCAGAATTCAGAGAGCTGTTAGCGCTGACCAGCCGAACCTTGAGATTGTCAATCTCGATCTGTTGGCCTAAAAGGAATCGTAAAGACAATTGGATCTGGAATCCATCCTTGTTGTTATACAGTCGAATGGCTGGGTCGACACGGAGGTCGGCAAAGAAGTCTGTCAAAGAAGCTGGGATATCTTTCTGAAGAGCATCAGACACTTCAAACAAATCGCGGACATGTCCTTCCAACATTTCCTGTTCAGTAGAATGAATCGAGCCAGCCATGGACTTTTGCCTGACTGACAATTGCGCCTGCGCATATTTAGCAAATTTGGAAAGCAACCGTATCATCATCCGGACGTAGTCCTCGTTCCGTTTGAGCTCCTTCAAGCACCGCGCATGGAGTTCTAACATGCTTCCTTCCAGAACAATCCAGTACCTAGAACCGTAGAAGGGAGCCATCCGATGGAAATAGGATGCAGCAGACTCGTAGTCTTTCCGGCGGTATCGTAAAATAGCGATTTCAGCCAGGGCCTGTTCGACGGAGTTGACACGGTTGGCTGCCATATGATGGCGGATCAAACGGTCTGTGAGATCTTCATAGAGAAACAGGAAGGCTTCTTTTGACTTTAATGCGGCCTTAATGCCACAAAGCTCGATGCCTAGAAGCGACGAATGCTCCTTCGAAGGTGTCTGTGACTCTTCAGTGCCATCGCCGTCCAGCGAGATCTCCGCCAGGCTACTTGCCCCAGAACGATAGCGATCATCAAAGAGAAGACCGAGACTACTCCAATTCTCAGCCCAGCCCCGTCTGCGAGCAATCTCCTCGAGGGACCGCCGAGCCAGAAGAAGCAATTCCGCCCTCCCAGATGACAGCTGTTCAGAACCAGTCTTTTGCGTCGGAATAGGCACGGGCTTAGAGTGTTCCATAGTCGCTCGCCGCTGGAGCAAACCCACACTATCAGAAATATCCTGTGTCACTGGCCGGCCGGGTCGGGCGGCAGGTGAGCCTATGAGGGAACTAGAGCGGCGAGGCACATCGGCGCGGGAATCTGCCATGGTGGCAGCGGCGGCTTCACTCGGTTGTGCAACGGCATGAAGAGAGGATTCGGGGAGCATGAGGGTCGGAGTGAATGTTTGACTCAGGATCTGGAAAGCTGCCGAAAATGCCCACACGGAGACTAGATTGTTGATAATATCTGTCTTTCCATCATGGACTACATCCGCTAGACCGCATTCAAGGTCATAGCGGAGGGTGCGTGCAGCTAAACCGATAAATTCCGTTGCCCTTCCACAAATCTCAGCTAGCAGAATGAGATCTTCGGGCTTCTTGCCTGATTTCGCCGCGTTGCCGTCTGCCGCAGGGTCGCTGCCGGCCAATGATGGAGCTCTCGCGGCTCGGAGTAGTAGAGTGAGTTGACGAGAGAAGATGTATGTGCGGAAATCGAAGATGGAGATATCGCTTGCCAGGATCATTTCCCGGTAGGACATCTTGTTGGCGTTAAATGGGAAATCCTCCGGCCGAAGCTCCGAAAATAGAGTCGTGTCATCGTCGCTGTCATCGGAAGCCCCCGACTCCAATGCCTTTTTGGCCATCTCCGCCCAGTTCTTACTTGTGATGGAGAGTGCACCACCATGTTGGTCACTGCCATCGAGCTGGTCTCGAATGGCCGCATCCAAGCCAACGGCTAGCTCATCGTATCCAGCCAGCGCATCTTCGAAGAGGCCCACATTCTCGAACCCCCTAGCAAGACCTTCCTTAAGGATGAAGAACGTGCAGAAGTTCCAGCCAGGCAAACTACGCTGAGAGTCTTTCTCCTTTATATCCTCCTCATATTGCGCTACACGCAAATCAAACGAAGCTAGAATGCCGTTCTTCATTTTATCAATCAAATCCTCCAATTGCTCCGCCAATTCAGGGGACTTGGTCCCCTGCTTCGGAAGACGCAGTTGGGCCACACGATCCACAGCAGACTTGGACGATCCATTGAAATCAGCCTTCGCCTTTTCCAGCACCGTAGTTGAACCACGACCCCATTTGGAGGTAGGAGTGGCCGCCTTGTCCGCAGCGTCGCCATCCGGTACCACGTGCAGGATAAGCCACTCGAACGCATCGTGCTTTTCCTGACTAGTAGTTGCAGACTGCGAGCTTTGGGAAGACGCGTTGGCCTTGATCCATTCGCGAAGGTTCCGTCGGGCCGTCGCCTTGTAGGTTTCGTTATCGTCGCACCGGAGGAGGTAAACTTTCAGGTATGGGGTCTGCCGTAGACCAGGAATCTGGTGTCTGCGATGCGCAACTGTTCCTTGAACAGTATCGCTCGATGATTTGCGTTCGTTTGATTCTTGCGCAGGTGTGAAACCGATGCGGAGCGACTCGATCGACCGCACGGGGCGGGTTGGCGATTTCCAGTGGAGATTTTTTAGTGGGAGCTTTGATTCAATCACGGGTTGGATGAGCGGAAACAAGCCCGAAGGATCTGTGTATTCGACTGCGTTGTATGGTCAGTGCAAGCTTCATTCGTCCCAATCACCTTGGTCATACCCGTTACATTGCTGGAAGCCTGCGAAGGGTCCATGATTTCCCGGGCGCAGTACGGGAAGTAGCCAATTGACTTCAGGACATCTCAAAACTCAAGGTGCATAGGAGCTTTCATGCGCCTGTGGTTAAGGGGAAAAGTTGCGGGGTGAGGGAGACATGCTGTCAACAGCGGCCACGCACGGCCTCCTTCTTTTCCATTTTAGTGCGTATCCCTCGCCGCTTTTAGAATTTGGATCTACAACTGGGCTTTTCTTTGTTTTACTTCTTACATATAATATACTATATACAACATCTATCTCAACAGAAAATTGTATACCAGCATGGCATCTATACTCGATGACCTCACACCTCAACCTCAAACACCTTTGCCAGCACAGCACCACCAACCAGAACAATTCCTGCCTGTATAGGCAGTCCAATCCCAGCTGCTACAGAAAAAGGAACGAGGGCTTGGTTTTCCGGTCTCACCACCTGTGGATAGAAGAACCCAGTTGAGGTGACACCCAGCCATGCCATAGACCACGTTAGGCCAAGAGCCCTCTGCCACAGTGGTTTAGGAATATTCTTGCTTTGTCCATTAGACTTCGAAAAAGATATCCAAAGCGCTTTGATGCCATCTTCAATCATAAGGCCTAGAGGGGCCGTGACGAAGAATAACATGGCGCCGGATTCCTGCGCTGGGATTCCCTGCACAATATCGAGCACGAGATGAAGCCCGCCCGAGCAGAAGAAAACAACAAAAACATTCATATATCGCTGCACTAAAGACCTTGGCCTTAGACCTAATACGTCTTTAGTAATGAATGCGCTAACAGAGGTCAGGGGGTTTTGCAGCAATTGGTGCCAGAATTTCCTGCGAAATCGATGTCAGTATAATATCCCATTAGCCCAAATATTTTGCTGAGTGAGCTTACCCCCAGAAACCCCGTACTGTATCGGCATCCAGTGCTCTTCCGTATAATGGAGGGCAGTTTGCAGGCGAGTCGAGTCCGAGTCCCACGACAATGATCGAAAAGACACGATGGTGGAAGTCGATGAGAATTCGGCTCACCACAAATCCAGCCATAAGGTTTGAGATGATACGTTCGATCCATTGTTCGGTTGAGATATCCCATTGAGGCACGGGCGGCAACATCCCACTTTTTTCTTGCTCCAATGCCTGTTGCAACGCAAGAGTAGCAAAGCCGTCCAGAGCTAGATATTGCCAAACAACAATGGCTGTTTGCCGAATCAAAAAGCGACCTCGAGGAGGCGTGCTCATATCACGTCGTCTATAATATCCTGGGTGTGATGGGGCATTTTTTATTTGCCAGGGAGTGTTGATCCCACGAGGGTCAGTGAAAAGCCGAGTCGCGGCATAAACTCGAGCCACAAAGCTCTGGCTACCCCCAGAAGGCAAATCATTGCTATCCTTTGGGCTGATGAGTAGCAAGTTTAGGCATTGGAAGACGATGGTTATGAATAGTCGACCGCATTCACACCATATGAATCCCGGACCCAGTGCTGTGGCCACGGGTATAGCTTGATATACAATAAAGATAGAGCATGGAATTGACAGATACCGAAGACCAGATCGCTTTGGTGTTGCGATTAGGAGAGTCGCAGGTATAAGGCAATGGGTGGCATAGAGAAAGAGAATTTGCAGAATTTTAGAAGAGGTTGACATGGCCCACCTATACCCAAAACTAAAGAGTAAAAGGCCTTTTGAACGAGTGTTGATGTCGCGAGAGATGTGATTTTCTTCCAAAAAGGGGCGATCTGCATAGAATCTCGTGGGCCTCTTACGGTGAGCCACAGATACGAAGACGACAAAATATATCCATATTATCAAATCGATGTTCTATTCAATGATTATCTCTGTTTTGTTTCATTTCAAATGTTTCTTGTAAATCAAACCCTTCGATGATACTAAACCAATGCTAACCTGGTGCACACATATTCCGATCTAGATCTGCCTAGGTGATATTAGTGGAATGATACTATGTATCCCTCTTTTGGGGCATCTCCAATGAAATAATAGTGTCTAGGCATGGTCCATTAGGAAAGTTGTTCTATGTGATGATAATGTGTGGTTACATAGTGGACTTGAGAAGATATATATGGAAAGACGGACAGTCTAAATCCCGGGCATCAGATTTCCCCGCTCGGGTCACAGTTATATAAATCGAGATTCGTAACATCCCGGAACAACTATTTCACAAACATGAACTCAGCTCTCCACGACGCCGCAACTCGATTTATCGAGCGCCACCCTGAATCGCACCGCCTGCATAAGCTGTCACTCAACAGCTTACCAGGGGGAAACACCCGCACTCTGCTACACACAGCACCGTTTCCAGTTTTCATGCGCAAGGGCGAAGGCTCAGAACTGTGGGATGAGGATGGAAACAAGTAAATACACCAACCTGACTCTCGAGTACGTATGGACTAACACTATTTTCCCAGATATTATGATCTAGTCGGCGAGTTATCGGCCGGGCTATATGGACACTCTCACCCGACGCTGCAAAAGGTGTTGACAGATACCATTCAGAATGTCGGCCTGAGTCTGGGAGCAACGAATGTCTACGAGCAGCGATATGCTTCGTTGCTGTGTGAGCGGTTTGGACTTGAACGGGTTCGATTTACAAACTCCGGAACAGAAGCAAACATACACTGTCTTGCTGCAGCCAGGAAATTCACCGGCCGTGGTAAGATCATCGTCTTCCGCGGAGCCTACCATGGTAGCGTGCTATCATTTGGAAATGGTATCCCCGAGAACAACATCGACCAGGCCGATTGGGTACTCCTGCAATACAACGATTCCGAGGGTGTTCGGGAAGCGTTTTTCCAGAATGGTGATATTGCTGCTGTCATTCTGGAGGGGATCCAGGGGTCTGGCGGGTTCATCTCTGCATCCCTCGAGTTCCTACGAACAATCCGCGAGGAGAGCGAGAAAGCGGGCGCGTTAATGATTCTGGATGAGGTAATGACATCTCGGTTGGCACCGGGGGGATTGAAAGATATTCTCGGGATCAAACCAGATCTTATCACTCTGGGCAAGTATCTGGGCGGAGGCCTGCCATTCGGGGCGTTTGGTGGCCGACGAGATATTATGGATGTGTTCAACCCTCTCACGCCTGGGGCTTTGACACACTCCGGCACGTTCCAGAATAACACTTTGATGTTGCACTCTGGGTATGCGGGACTCTCTGAAGTGTATACGGCTGAAGTCGTTCAATCCCTCAATGCTCAAGGCGATGACTTGCGCCAGCGCTTGCAACGGGTCTTTGCGGGATCTAAGTTCTGCATTACTGGCCAGGGTTCACTTATGTGCGTTCACGTCACTAATATAGGCCTTCGCGCAGAGCAGATCACTTGTCGAGATGATGTTGCTGCGGTTGAGGACACGGATCTTAAGCAGCTTTTCTGGTTGGAACTGGTGAATGCAGGGTTCTGGGTGCAGAGTCGAGGAACGATCACCTTGAACATCGCCATGTCTACCACAGCTCTCGATGCGTTTATTGAAGCTGTCAAGGAGTTTTGCAAGAGATATAGATCCCTGATTGTAGTTTAATGCATAGGTGGTACCACTACAGTGGCCCTGAAGAGGGATGCATGAAGAAGGCAGATATGCAAAGAATTCTATTTGGATGTGAATCTAACAAGAGGACGTGTAAACAATGCATATGTACATCAGACATGTAGGTATAACACTGTATAGCTTAGTGGTGGACAAATCTTCGACGCAACTGCAACAGCTCAAGAGACAATCGTCATAGGGTTGAAGTTGGAAAATATATAGAAGCAAGGACAGTAAGACTCAATCGTGCGGATTCTACATAGATAGTCGTGCCGCGTCATTATGAACACAAATAAGAAAAAGACAGAAACCCGACAGTTAGTCCGTCGTATAATAGAGAACTTCACCCGCTCAGAAAAAAACGCCATAGAAATATATGACCAGAAAGGAAAAAGAGAAAAGAGAAAGATGCCCTAAATGCCCATTTCCACAGCCGGCTGTGTATAGCGAGCTTTCACAAATTCAAAGCTGTCCGTGACGCCTCGCCAAATCCCGGGAACGTAGTTCCGACCCCAGGCGCAAATAACGAGAATAAGAAGAGGAATCTGCGAAATAGTGTTAGCAACTAAATTGAAAAAGGAAAGAGCTGGTAGAGGTGTTGTCTACTTACCCAGATGAAGTACAGGTTTCGGTCATTGCCTAGACCCTTCATTCGTCGAGCCTGTTGCTCTCGGAGATGCTTTTGTTGCTCGCGCGAGATCACATTGCGCCCGATTGTGATGTCTTTGAGATCGTCCTTTTCGACTTGCGCGAGGGAAGCTGAAGCTGGCGCCGAAGCGGAGGTGGCCGCACCAGCACTGCTTTGTGCCTCGAAATGCTCATCGATAGCTGCGTCTGTTGCGGCACGGATCAGACTGGACTTCTTCATGTCGGACTCATCGGTACTTTCGGGGTGCGGGAACAGCTCGTCGTATGAAGGTGGTTGGTTGGGATTGGGCGCGGAGGTGCCCTTCAGGTAATCCCACCAGCCATCCCCAGCAGCAGGTCGGTGAGGAACAAGGTTGGTTATACGGCGCATCATTCCTTGTCCTTGGTAGTCTTGGAGGGCGGGCATCGCCGGTATCGCTGGAATTGCGGGCATCGGAGGCATGGGAGGGAGAGCCGGGAGGTTGGGGAAGGCATTAGCCACGCTCTGCTGGAATTGATTGATTTGAAGAGCAAGCTGGTCACGCCACGCGACAAGAGGTGCTGGTGGTGCGAAGCCTTGAGAATCTCCGGGTGCGACGGCTTGTTCGCTATTGTCCATAGTTGGCGGTCCGACATCTTGATGCATACTAGACCGACGAGAAGAGCCGAATTGAAGAGGCTCTGAGTCGGAATCGTCGGTGGTTTCCTCCTCATCATCCAGGTCCTCTGAGTCATCAACAGCATGACCAAGAGATCCAGAGGCGGAAGACACCTCCCACATGGAGCTAAGCGAGGCCGAGCTGCTTTGACGGCGGCGTGACGTGAGGGATCCAACGCTGCGCGACCGGTAGTGGCGAGATGGAAGCAATGCGGCTTGGTGCGCAGGGAGTGTTGTCGCTAGGTCCGCGGCAGTGAAACCTCGCACACTACGAGTGTTGGGATTGGCACCCGTCAGACGCAACCGGTGGACAATGTGAGCATGACCATTGAGTGCGGCCAGATGCATTGGCGCATTGCCCGTGTTGTCTTGCACATCGGGGTTTGCACCTCGAGCCAAAAGACCCGCAACAAATCTTGTCAGTCCCAACGATGCCGCAAAGTGAAGAAGACTCTGACCGGTCGTGCTACGAGAGTTATACCGCGGTGGCCGGGGACTGTTGTCCAAGTCGATGAATTCCAAGTAGGTCAGCATCTTGGAGTCGAGATCGCTAAGTTTGCCTTGGTTTTCAAGACCCGGTACTTGACGTTGTTGACCACCAGAGTTACCTTGCATGTCTGCCTGCATGTTGAAAAACGCGTTTGGATCGCTTCCCATGATCTGTTGCGCCGTGTGGAATGCATCCGCTTGGCTGCCCAATTTTTGACCAAGAATGTTCAGTGCCAAGCGATACATTTGAAGCTCACGATCATCCACATAGCGGAAGAACAGCTGTTGTTTCGGCATGAGGGGTTGAGATTGCTGGACCTGGCCAAATGTCGGGTGCTCATGCTTGAATACCACAGATACCAGTCCCGGTTGAAGAGCAGGAGGAGTCAGGCAGTTGAGGCACTTGTCACCCCAGAATGTCGTTGTAGTAGCCAAGGTGTCACCGAAAACAACCTCCATGCCAGGATAAAATCCGCTGCCCAACAACGTAACCTCAGTCCCTCCTGTGATGGAGCCCTCGGCAGGCACCAACTTGTGGATTACTGATGGCAATCGATTGGGAGCATTGTTGAGAGGAGGCCAAACCTGGTTTGAAGAATTCGTGCCAAGTCCCATGGGAATGTTTGGATCATGGAAGCCGTTGCGATTCGAGCCACCTGGTGTCCCCGGACGACTGGGATGGGCGGAGTTGGGTGTTGAGGCCAGTGCTCCACCGGCCAGTGTATCCAAACTTTGTCGCTGGGCAGGAGTCGGGTTGAAGAATGGATTGTTATTGTTATCATTGCTCTGGTTGGGAGTGGGCGGGCCATTTTCATATTGACCTGACATAGCGGACGGGTTTACGAATGGCCGTTCAGTTGGTGAAGCGAATCCACGAGCAGCCGCAAGTTGTGCAGCATTGTTCATGGCTGCTGCGGATGACTGAGGTGTCTCCAGTCGTGTCATCGTCAGTTCCGATGGAAGCCTTCCAGAGCTGCTGTGCTTGCGTCGTTTGCTCTGTGGTGCTTGGAAATCAGAAGGGGATGCTCCTCGTGACAGACTCCTGGACGGCTGAGGCACATGCCCGCCATTCGTCGAGCCTGGAGCCGCAAATGAACTGGGTGTAAGCTGATATTGTGAATTGAACCTTTGTTGAAGACCCTGAAGATCAGTTGGGGACTGAGGTGCACCGAGAGAATTTTGCCCATTCTGGGGGGTTTGGCCGGAGGGAAACACTCCAACTCCCGGTACTTGTGTCCCATCTGAGAGGGATGGTGAAGGGCCAGTCGGTGCAGGGGCGGATGGAGCCTGCGTCTTGTGGTCGTCGGTTATCATAATCGAATTTGTGATTGCCTGCGCGACCACGTTGTCCAAGTGGTCCTTCACAGTGAATATAACCTGGAATCCGAGCTTCTCATTTTGATGCCGGCAGTAGCATGCAATCCGCATTGGCAGTTCCACTTGCATTGATCCTGGTGGGACCGACAACCTATCACCGTAGCCACTGCTGGCGCTCTTTGCTGGTTCGGTCCATTCCTTGATCTCACTGGTGTTGAAGACGATGACACGCTTCTCCTCATCCTTTTGGAACAATTCATCTTCCTCGGGCTTCCTTTGCTTCTTCCGTGACGCACGTTTCCGTTCCCGTTGTATACACCCGCTGCAGATTTTCACATCACCTCCATCCAACGGACGTTCGTCATCCGAAGTTGCTTGATAGTGATCGCCTCTTGTCCGTGCAAATGCCCGCTTCATCTTTTCTCTGTCTTGCATGGCGCTTGTGCATACCAGGCTTGTGTACAACTGAAGGGTATCGCGGCTAGGTTCGGTGGCAGGAGGAGCAAGAAATTTGAGTTTTGAGATGGTGTGCGAGGGAAGACGTAGTTTCTTGACGCCGGTAGGTAACGGGGAGAGGGTCAATCGGATCGGAATTTGAGTCTCAACGCGGGATTTGAGGGAAGTTGGATGCACAGTGAGAACAGGCTGTAGAGAGTGGGCATTCATTTGAGGTTGGGCCGGGGAGGAAGCGAAATTGACAGGGAATTGGTATGATGCGGGCGAGCCGAAGTTCATGGCGGGTGATAACGAGGTGTGAAGAGGTGATTGGCGATTCATGTTGATGCCTCCAAAGCTTTCTTCCAGAAGTGACGAAGGAGACTGTCCCCCCCACTGCGGGGCGGCTCTATCCATATCTTGTTGCAGGTTGGAGGAGTATGGCGACTGGCCGTTCAGTCCAAAAGCGAAGAACGGAGACCCGGGTGCATGAGCCTGTGATTTGTTAGCAATACACGGGAAAAAGCATGCTGTTCGAAAGACTCACCGAAGGCACAGCATCTAAAGACGCCAGCCCAGCGTGGTTGCTCGAAGGACTCCAGAGCTGGGATTTCGAGCGCTTTTGGGGTCTCGGGAGTGACCCATTGTCCGTCTTCAATGGACTAGGGCTGCTCGCTGCACTTTCAAAATCAAAGGCTGCGTCCATCGCCTTGTTGCTGACTTCCAAATCAGGATCCATAGAGAAACCACCATCCATAGGAAAAGAAGGGTCAATATTGAACGGCGATTCCTCCTTGACTGAGGATAACTCCGGGCGCATCCAGTCCTCCGACGGGTAACTAGTAGAAACCAAGGGATTCTCACTGTGCACTGCAGAGTTTGTCGAAGCGATCGATGTTTGTCGCAGGTGGTTCCGTGGCGATTCAGAGGAAGAACTACGACCCGAGTCATCTGGCGATTCGGCCGGCGAGTCCGCAGCAAGAGTCGGCGCTTGTCTCAGGGAGTTTTGGTCTCGGTATGTTTTCGAAGATCCCGAAGCGCCATTCGGACGGGAAGTTGTGGCTCGAGCGAATAGGTCGTCAAAATCTCCCCCAGCATTTTCAGTTGACATCTCGAGTTTTGTGGGGTCCAAGAAGTCCATGTCGTCGTCCATGATGATAGGATCCAGGGCGGAAAACGAGGGTGAAAAGGGTGCCTGTGCTGATACCATGCTTCTTCTTTTTGTCCCGTCTTGATTCTTGTAAATCGCAATTGATTTCCACCGTCAACAGCCACCTTCACAACAATCTAATAGGCGTCCGGTCGCGTGTTGGAAAGGAAATCCCGGAGGCGCTAGCAATCCAGAAAATATGACAATCAAGACTTGTCACAGTTTATACCAGGACCAATCTCCGATACCATGGCCATGAGAAAGGTGAGATTTGAAGGTGTTGGGGAAAGTCACTGCCTTGGGTTAACTGGAGGAAAGGGGAGCGGGAAAACTGTGAGCGCCGATCCTGGCAGAACCTCAACAAATATACATGTCAACGACTTTACGTGAATTTATACTGTAGAGTTGAAACGAAATATTGAATTGATTGAAATTGTTCAAGGTTTGATTTTAAAATAATTCTATCTTTTTGCAGATATGCTTACATCCCAAATCATAGCCCTGGAGGTACTGTATGTTTAAAATAGACACCTCAGGCCTTATAAAGCGGTGACCAATACGGTACACGCCATATGCCCTCTGATTTGCTGTTGACCCTACTTCTCCCGTCCGAGAGGGGTGCGGACGAGGGGGAAGATGGGTTCTGTTCTACAGAATACTCCTTGGAACTTTACTTTGCATGGCCACGTTTTGTGACACCTGACTTTCTTCCTACATAGTAGGGAACCCCTCGGACTGATCCCTGGGGCCGAATACTTGAAATGACGAAAGAGTCCTCCATAGACGCATGATAAGGATAATGTACGGAGACCTGTGCCAAGCGCACACAGACACTTCGGGTAATCGTGACTCGCAAAGGCAGAGATTGTGACACCCCGGTTATCTGTGTCATACCCCCGCTGTGTTGGAGTAACACTCATTGATGGGCGGCAGGGCTACCTATGTAGCTATCAGTTTTGGGTGTTTTGCTTACTCTGGTATCATATCAACACACCAATGCACGTTGCACTACCTAGGTATGATGCACTTGAATGTTGTGATCGTCGGACTCCCATGGTCAGCGACCCTGAGCAATGCTGTGCTGCGAACACTTCTCAACACGACATACATTATATAGTCGTGCACCTCTACACTGGATAGCAAATTGTAAAGATTAGGTATCTTTTGTATAGAAGTTACATACAAAAGGTACATATGCAAGATACGTTCAGCCATGGCATCCATTTTTCTCAACTCTCAAACTAGATTAAGGGGAAATGTAAAGGTAAAGGTCTAATGCAAATCTGGATCAATCGGTATACTACTAAAGTTAATTCTGAATGATAAAAAAGTGTAAAGAACGCCTTAAAAGACATCACATATAAACGTGATATACAAAAGTGCCATTCTCTTGTTCCAACCGAACTTGATAATTCTTAATAAGGTCGATAACAAGTAATTAAGCCTTCATCTACACTGTACATATCCTTCTATATCTTCCCTAACTAGTTTGAGGATTAAGATATTTGAGGTTATGCCTACGTTGTACGTGATATTATGTACCTTTCGTATGTAATTGACATACAAGATATACCTAATCTTTACAATTTGCTATCCGGTGTAGAGGTGTGGGCTTGGCACAGTTATATTAACCGGTTATATTAGAGCCTCTATAGACAGTGGATAATCTATCTTCTCCACGTGTAGAATGTGGAATCGTTTGTTTATCCGTAATGATTTCATTAGCCAAAGATATTGGCCCTAGAGGCGAATGGGCCTGCATATATGGAGATCTAGTTCCTTGCGGGCACACGGCTGAGACTGGCTAGATTTAATCTACGCTCGCATTGAAGCTTCCCGCTAACTTGTCCCACAGTCGTTGAATTATTTTGAGACTTGTTTCAATGAGGTGAATTGGTCAAAAGTGCCCTTAATCTAAGTGATGAAAGGATTCGCGCTGATGTGAGAAGCGTCAACTTCGGAATAACGTGATTTTTATATGACTTGACCAACTGCACGATTTGCTTATACGGGGAAGTTTTGGCACCTTTGCAATTTAGACCGCAATTTAGACCTGACAGAAGCGCTGAATATGGACCGTTCGAGATTGTCATCCTGACTCCTGGACCTATCATGCAGGAGACGGACATGATTCGGGTGGAGTGTCTCAGAATAATTTTCTAAGCGCAGAGGCTAAATAGAGACTCCGTAACAACTATGGCGTCTGAAAGGGGCAGACGATACCTCCAAGCCTTCCATATTGTTCAAAGGAAACTGGTTGGATTAAGAAGAAAAGCCCTTGAAGTCATTGAAGTTGGCCATATATATGGAAAGAATTTTTCACCTCTTTCGACATAGTAGGCTGTGGACGATCGACATGTCAGAAGGCATTGTGGGATACGAAATTCTCCTAACTTCCCCTGTGGAATTTAAACGAGGTTTCCCCGAAACAGTAACGAATCCTTGCGGAGTACGAAGTACGGAGTACAGGGAAGAGTGGAGATAGACATCACTTTAAGGGGCTGAAACTTAAACTGTCGCAGACAACCGCCCACGATGGCCAGCCAACTAGCCAACTAGAGATACGAGACAGTGTCAAAACGTGCGCTCCTTGATGACCCTGATGGAGCATAGCTTAATTACGGTTGTGCACTAGTGCAGCCTTGGGAACATCGGCGCTTTAAAGTCATCTATCTGCCACCTCCTAGATGCATATGTCTCGGTCGCTCATAATTATCCACCTATGGGCGCACTCACAGAGTGGAATCATTGTCCCATGTCAGAAATATCTGTCGAACTTGGTGATATCTTCTGTGATAGGTAGTTCTTGGCATCGGAGTGATGCCGCTTCTGTCGAAATGGGTATGATGCCCGCGAGGACCTACATATATAAGGCCCTGGCATCCGGGCCACTGGATCTTTCTCATCTATCCTTCGCATTCCATTCATTTCAAGGTCTAGTACCATTCATTCTCTTACTGGGTTGACTTCATTGACTGAAGTCCCCTTGTCATTCTTTATCGCTCACCTTTGATACTTCGATCCTTCGATCTAAACGCTGTGCGTTTTATCCTACTTCTTCAAGATGTCTGTCTCAAAGATTGCGGGTTTCATGCTTAGCTCGGCCGCCATGGTCGCTGGCCACGGTTTTGTCTCGGGTGCTGTTGTTGATGGTACCTACCACGGAGGCTACCTCGTCAACAGCTACCCCTACTCCAACGACGCGCCCGAGACTATTGGATGGGCCGAGAAGGCTACAGACCTCGGCTTCGTCGACGCCACCGGCTACTCTGGTCCTGACATTATTTGCCACAAGGAGGCCACTCCTGGTGCGATCTCCGCCGAGGTCAAGGCCGGTGGTGATGTCGAGCTGCAGTGGAACACTTGGCCCGAGAGCCACCACGGCCCGGTCATCAACTACTTGGCTAACTGCAATGGCGACTGCTCCAAGGTCGACAAGAAGACTCTCAAGTGGTTCAAGATCGCTGAGTCCGGTCTGATCGACGGCAGCAACGCTCCTGGTAAATGGGCATCTGACGATCTCATTGCCAACAACAACAGCGCGTCCGTGACCATCCCCAGCTCCATCGCCGCTGGTAACTACGTTCTCCGTCACGAGATCATCGCCCTGCACTCTGCCGGTCAGGAGAACGGTGCCCAGAACTACCCCCAGTGTCTCAACTTGAAGGTCACCGGCGGCGGCAGCGACGTTCCTGACGGTGTTCTCGGAACTGAGCTCTACAAGGCCACCGACCCCGGCATTTTGGTCAGCATCTACAACCAGCTGAAGGAGTACACCATCCCCGGTCCCGCTTTGTACAAGGGCGCCTCCTCCGGCTCCTCCGGCTCCAAGACCACCGCCGCTGCCACTACCGCGACTACCGCCAGTGCCTCAACCGTGAGTGCCTCTCCCATCCAGAGCTCCTCTTCGCACCACCTCACCCGCACTCGCACTGCCCGTCCCACTTCCAGCCCCTCCGGCACCCCTACCCCCTCATCCACTGCCACGTCTGCTGCCTCCACCGACGCTCCTTCTACCGTCACCGAGACTGCCACTGCCACTTCTTCTTCTGCTCCTCAGGTTACTGACGAGCCTGCTACACAGACCGCCAGCGACCCCGCCGACAGCGTCACCATCACCGCCAGCGCCGGTGGCCAGTCTGCCCAGAGCTCCGTCCCCGCCTCCGGTGGTGATGCCTCCGAGCCTAGCGCTACTCCTGCCGCCAGTTCTTCTGCCGGCTCCAGCACTGGCTCCGGCTCCAGCTCCAGCTCCGGATCTTCTTCCTCCGATTCCGGCGACTACTCCTCGTACCTCAGCTCCCTGAGCGCCGAGAAGCTCCTCGAAGTTATTCGCTCGACCCTGAAGTGGCTAGTCTCTGACAACAAGGTGCACGCCCGTGCTCTGTCTCACTAAAATGTTCGCCCTTCAAGCTAGATGTATAGCTGTGGATAACTTTCCATCTATTTTTATACGTCTTCTCGGTGTGTGAATCTTACTGAACGGCTGTGAAATGGGATCGGGTATCCTCTCTTTTTGTTGATTGTTCAATTGGGACTGATTGTAACAACACCGTGTTACGGATTTCTTTTATATTCTCTTTCCTCCTTGCATTTCGCACACAGGAGACGATAGGCCAAGCTGTGTCTTTTTCTACTTTACCCTTATGAATGGAATCGTTGGACTGCTATGTTATGATATTGTAGACGAACGCGTACTATAAGGTTACAAACACCACACAGCTTCCCCACACAGCTTCCCCACACTAAAATCCTCGATATCGATAGGGCATGGATTTAGGTCATCTAAGGCTGTTGTCAGAGCGTTCTCAACTAAATGAAACTAGTTGTTCTAAATAGGAAATAGAAGGCTATCAGTTTGACGAAGGCTTAGACTTTATAGGTGAGGGCCGGCTCGCTAACGCATCTTTACAGATCTAAACACTACTAGATGCACTGGCCGAATAGAGCTAGCGGTGGGGACGTAATTAGCACTCCTATAAGGATTTAATCAAAATTATAATACCAAAGCCTTTAATATGGCATAGCCTCGACCGACTGTCGGCCTTAGCTTAATTATCGTTCTAATATAGGTACTAGTTTACAGCTGCTCTGATCTATCGGCCATAATAACTCAAATTAATTGTATGACGGCACCTATCTAGCATATGAAGCTAGGAGGAGTAGGGACAGTTGAAAGCGTGATCTTCAGGCGAGGACTCGCTAACTCCTTTAGAGGCCTCGGTTTGTAGGAGATTACGGCGAATAGAAAATTTTATCAGCTCTGTCTGCGAGACCTAGTAGTGCTTAAACCATAATTGCTAGATAGAATCCTCCGTATTCGGGATCGTCACCACATTCCTGATTTCGCGCTGCATATGGTAAACATTAGTATAGTACTTCTGCTATCTACCAGTTGTTTAAGTATGCGCAGATTACTGTAATCGAAGTCCGAACTAGACGGCGGTTTCTATTTATCATACCTTAGAGCTATGGATTGGAAGATGACTGAATGCAACAGTTCTGGGACACTCACTGTAAGCTCGTCCAATTCTTTTCGCAGAAATACATTCAACGGAAGGTCCATGATGCGGTGCCGGATACTGATACTCGGCTTCTGAATCAACGGTTACTATGTTGCAATTCAACTTATCGTGAAGCATCCAAACCTTGAGGGCCTCCTGTGACTGCTTCCTCGCCTTGCAGCATCCAAGGAGTTCGAGAAAACAAAACCAGAGGTATTTAGTAAGCCCATATTTCGCACAAGACTTTAGGTATTGAGACGGAAAAGATATAGAACTTCGTAGGGACACTTTAAAAACGGCACTCAATTGAAGGATCCGCGACGTCGAGACCGTATAGATATGCAAGATTATATACCCCTGAATGTGCCAATGTCTCATATGTTACCCCCGACCGTCATCATTGGTTAGAGTTTCCAGCTTCAGGGCTCTTGCTGCTTCCTGCGTGAAGCCGATCAGATGGATTTGCTTTTTCGACGGAGATCAAGGCAATATCCCTTAGATTACTATGTGTTAAGGACAAAGGTCTAGACCTGCTTTCCAGAGGCAGTCAACTTCGTGAACATACTCTTGCCAAATATTTCCTAAGCTTCTTGGTGTTATCGACTGGGAAGACGCATTTGCAGGGTCCTGGGAGATATCTGGCGAATTTCCTTTGACTCTATCCATTGTACCGCCTGATATGGATTATGGATGCGCCTTGGAATTATGATGAGAAGGGTTACCGAAAAGACGCAGGTGATATACAGAAATTTGCGGGTAAAGAAGTTTTTATAGCGGCGGTGGCTGAAAAAGAAAGAGAAATGGGTCTGACTGAGGGGTACCGTCTATCAACGGCCTTACAGGATTCGAGCCGACAATATCTGGCTACGGCTATGAGGTTGTATCAGAGAGGAATGCCTAGATGGTAGGCAAAGGTGATAGAAAGGCTTTCCGAAGGAACCGCATGCTAGTTCCCAGACCAGAATTGCTTTTGCCCGTCATCGCCAATCAGGAACCGAAACCTCTTGTCTTGTGGTAGCCCTCACAATTGGATAGGTATAATGGCCATACGGTCGTTGTTATTTATAAATTCATTTTTTTCCATTTTACACGTGGGAAAATTAGCCGTTAAAGGAATATTTCTTTTCATACTATACAGACACTCCTTGCAAGTCTTTAATCAGCCTTGAGGTGGTTTTATTTGTTGCTTAGAACTCACAATGAGGCGAAACACTGCTAACAGAAAGTATGGTCCTTTTAACTGCCTACTAACTCATTTCTGAACCAACTCTCTTATTCCTAGGATCCTCCGGATGAGCCCTCAGATAAGTGATATAGACCTCTGAAAAGCCAGAATAGCCCTCTAAAGCAAGGTTCGGTCTATAATAGTTTCATAAGTCGATATTCATTCGATAGGGCGCTTAAATGAAATCCCATGATTTATAATATATATAATAGGCCAAAAGGAGTATAAGCCGTAACGGCACTATACGATAATTATATCATATAGGATCATACCGGTTACACGTATCTCTAAAATTATAAGTGCTCTAAGTATTATAGCTTATCTGTCTTAAAGCGGTGGCTGTGTAGGTTGGACAAAGCTCCTATAATTACCTTACTTCGGTAAATAATAGGCAATTGTATCGAATAGGAGCCTAGAACATCCCTAACTAGGCTGATTATCGAAATGGTTAGACTACGGCTAGGCTATTATCAATCGAGTCTCAAGTCGTTATTGCACTTTCCGCGAATTCGATTTTCTAACGTCTAATATGTCTCTAGAGATAGCCCAAGTATCTGGAAGTAGGTTGTCGCTCCTTGGCCATATATCCACCGTTTTGCTTGTTCTAGAAATATTTGTTATTACAGTAATTTAAAGAAGGTCGGTTATTCATTCTAAGGGGTAACAAGATGAAGTCCAGTTGGCTTCCAATAAGCTCGTTCCTTCCTATAGATAGTGCAGAATTAATTTTGATGATAGGGCTTAAACCCTGATCTGCACGAGCCTTAAATCACAACATTTACTGAAACTATCATGTGTAGTCTAACAGCATCGACCTGGCAAACATAGACAATATAGTAAGATAATTAGCGGGTATCTTGACAGTTCTTGAGACTATTACCAGGGTCTGCAATAGGAAGCTGCAACGCCGAGGGGGCGTCGGGTAGAATGCGGCCTTTTGGTTCTCGTGTCAAGTCTGAATAGGTTAACAAACCAGGATGCCGCATCTTCGGTCTAATAGGCGAGCTCTTCCTGTTTCCTCGAATATCTTAACTCTTGACTGAAGGCTCTCAAGTCCTAGTGATGCGCTGGAGTGCCAGTCGCCTGTCCTGAATGATATGTTGCAACTTGTTTGTTTCGACAACTGCCAACAATATTTCGTTTTCTATGGCCAAGGCTGCGCTTCTCTCCTCATTGGAGATGCTTTTTGAGGTGAGAAAAACAGCAAGTCTAATGAAGAGAGTCTGTCAGCCGAATGTTTCAGTGTTGAGAGGTCCGAACTTTACATACGACGCAGAGAGTTCCGTCGTAGTATAAATGGTATTTTCAAACGTGTGCAGCGCAGCCGTTCTGCCAATAGTCGCACTTCTATGTCCCGGAAGAAACAAGACGATCTCGGTCCTGAAAGTGTCCTGGAATCTAACACATGCATCTCCGTTGCTGCAGATTGCCAACCGAAGGTGATGCTGGACTTCATGACTGGGCCTGCTAGGTTCTGATTGACGCGAATGCTGATGAAAATTTCCCTAAAGCAGTGTCAACGGAAGACAATCGATGGCACAGTCCTGCTGTTAAAGCCTCGGTTGTACTTTCGGTAGCTTTGAGGTTTTCCAGAAGGGCGCAGATGCTCCGCTACGCAGCTTTTGCGGCTTGGGCAGTGGGACCGGTAATACTGATTGGTTTGGCCATCGTGAGCGAAAGAAATGCCAGTCTGGAGTACGGTCAGTTGATACGGAACAATGAGTGAATGAAAGCTGAACTCACTGTGGTATATTCAAAAGCGGTCTTTGTGTTCGCTTAAGTAGTTTGAAGGCAGAGGAAAGATGAAGACCATTGTTTTCGGAGGGTGTGACGAGGTATATATCTTTTTTTAAAGTCATAGCTCTAGGCAGAAATACTAGGGGGGAGGGGGCGATGATTCGAGTTCCTAGGATTCAAACAAAATAGCTTATAGGCCCCTAGGACTCTGGTAATACAGCCTAGTGGGCTCCTGGGAACACGCCGCGGGCTCCCAGGAGCTCATCGGGTATTACTGTTGATGGTTTGTCTTCGGCTTACAATGGCGCGAAAGACATGACGTTATACGCTCAGGAAAGCCTTCGGCTTGTGTGCTCATTGGCGAGAGAAGTGGTTCATCGTCGTCACCTGCTGAACACTGATTCCTCCAGTCGCCTTGATACAGGGAAGGGTTCTAGATCTTCAAGGAAATCCATCCAATCGCCCTGGCCCTGGTAGTAGTCCAAAGCCCGATTAGGGGATCGCCGGGCTTATAAGCGAAGTATTCCAAGGGGTGTTCCCAGGAGCATAGGCTGAAATGGGAAATTCATCGGTCAATTGAATAGCCCCACTGTGAGCTTTTCATTTGGATAGGATCGAGACCGCTAGGATGAACGGTCACATTAACGGCGCCAGTCCTTTTTTGATGGGACGATGGGCGATCTAAATAGGAAGGTCGCACGTGACGGGCTAGCGTGTCGCATTTTATTGATGTAGCTTACTCAGGCCGGCTCATCCCTGCACTCAGTGAGCACTCAGTGAGGAAATCAGATGATGCTCAGTGAGCAGGTCAAGTTGATTATGTAAATGGCCCGTGATCAAGTCAGGGCACTCAGGGACGTGCTCAGTTTTACTCAGTGATTAAAAAGCGACAAGAGGTGAGCACTAAAACGGAAAGGGAAAGGACTCAGAGTGCCAGGCATTATCCGGTATATATGTATTTCGTACATAACATCTAGAAATTTAGAAACAGCTAGCTCTATCAGTTGGAGGATAATTCCTAGATTTTCTCTAATTTAATGTACACCAAGAGGAGGTTACAGACAATATGAAAAATAGTAGTAATAGTAAGGATAGAGGAATATAATCAGAAGAGATTCATAATTTTCGTCAGACTTTCTGGACCTAATCTAGTAGCGGCAACTCTATATGTAGGAACACTCCATGTCATTTTTGGAAGTCTTTTAGAGTTTTTTTTTATAGCAAGAAGGAAAATAGCGAGCTAAAGAAGTGCCACTAGCAACAGTACGGAGTATTTAGCCCTAGAGGCATGCTGGGCTTCTCACTCTACGAGGTACAATATCTAGCCGACGGTAAAATACCCGAAGGCGATACAAAATAAAACATACAGACAAACTTTTCATGCATAGCCAGAGATAATAGACCTTAGACACCAGATGACATGACAGGAGAACATTGGTATAATAATGCCGCGAAGGGTGGGTTGGGCAGTGTTGGAATATCTAAGTTATGGGCTCTTGTTGGGGATATATCAATTAGTTACTGTTCATCGTAAGGTCTATCTTTTTCTCTGAGCTTTCTCTGTGTCTTCATATATACCCCAGAGGAGAGACACCATGAATATCTCATGGACTAAATACCCCAAAGACTGCAAACAAACGTCAAATTTGATAACCTCAACACAATAAATAGATCTTCTAGATAATAGTGAACCCTCCTCATATCCTAGCCAGTGCTAGATAACTTTGACATCGGGTCTGCCGGTAACCATAACTGTAAATCCACTCGGGGATAGTAATCTCATGTATTACAGACTGTACAAACGGAACACCTTATGCACCAATAAAGCCATAGAGTACAAGAGTAGCGTGGGGGCACGTGGACAACAGCGAACTCATACTGTAAACTCTCGGGTCATTCTTCGATGTCCGTCTACTCTGCCATGCAATCAATTTCATATGCACTAGAGCAAACACACCATTTCCAAGCCATCCGATACTCCATCAAAGAAATCGCCACAGAAACCAAGGATAATCTACAATGCCAACACCGGAGGATACCAACAGAGCCGAAAGAGATGATACCTCCAATCGAGGACCAAGCACTGAAACCACCGTCTCCGGCATACGCGAGTCCATACAGCACCGACCAGACAATACGCGTCGCGACACTACACGCCGGACGGAAATATACACCGATAACCCGGGCCACGCGAATCGTCTTACAGATGAGGAACACCAGAGACTAGAGGAACTGGCGGCGGACTCGGGGGGCGGTGCGATATTCGTTACGTATGATCTGGTCCACAGGATAGACACGCTCATGGTGGATGGAACCCGTCGCACGGATGAGGCTTTGATGCAGTACTTGTTTCAAGATGATATCTGGGAGGCTATTGATACTAGAGATATGAATGGTAGGGAGACGCGGGGGGATGGTGGGAACGGGAGCGGCAATGGAAGGCAAGGCAGCGAGAGCGAATTGAAACTGCCGAATGGAACAGGGGAGAGCCATGAAGAGGAAGTGAAGCAACAGAGTGACGGTTGATTTAATGTTGGGTCGAAAAATGGGCTTTTTCGATTCAGATGCTTTTATAGCGACGTGCTGGGGAATGTGTATCTAGGAAGGTAGTTCAATCCATCACATCATGAGTATCGTCATTGATTTATCGTTTGTACAAAAAAGCGCTCTCTATCTAGCGTTGAAATGAACAAATGATTCCTTTGCGTGCGATCATTTCTTCTTCTTGGTCTTATCCACAACCTCGATCATCTGTGGCTTCAATCCACGGCGAATGAGGGCTGTCTCAATGGCCCTTCGTTGGTCGCCCTGCACCAAAACTTCCATGATCCCCTTGGGGGCACCAGTAGCCTGTGTCACACTAGTGCTACCGGCACACTTCTTCTGCAGCTCCTGTGCCAACAGACTAGGAATAACGCCGAACACCTCCAGAGTCATAACTTTGGTAACTGTCTTGGAGCCTGTCCGCTTCTCGAGGGTGACATGGACCTTCGGTGCGCTGCCTGCTTTCGGCTTGACATCTGCAATAGTTTGACCTGTTTTCAAAATGAGATGGTAGGGCGAGAGCAATGTCTTATCATCCATAAGTCGTTTTAGCAGACCATCGCGAGTGACCTTGCCGCGTGCAAGTGTCCCTTTATCTTCGGTTGATGATGAATTGAAGATGGTGTTCGCGAGGAACGGGTTGAGGGATATGATGCGCCGGTTCTCTTTTGAGATGATCGGCGGATTTTGTGATTCAAGATATGTATCCAAGTGGCTGGATACTTCCGAGTATTTGTAGAAGTTATTTGTGTCGCTGGCCGCGAGGGAAGGGAAAATGGTTGGCATCAGCTTCCCTGATGGCCGATATAGACTTTGCACAGTGATCGTCTGGCCCACTGAAGGGTCGGAGCCGTCCGTTGCAGCCGACTTTTTGCCCTCAGGCGCGGTCGCCTTACTGCTCTCCAGGGCACGCGGTGAGGGCAGTCTGTATGGCACAAATCGCTCGACTCGATGGTCCCCAAAGTCCACATCCAAAATGACAGTCTCTTGACCGCTACGATCTTTGGTTTTGACAAGCTTCAATTTGTCTAGATGTCTCATAAACTTTTTGACGTTCTTCCAACTGGTTTTCTTGATGTTGTAATGCTGAGCCTGTTGGGGGGTGTAGACAGGAAGATAGGGAGTAGTGAAGTTGGCTATCAATGCCGATGCTGTGATTGGCAGTGGAAGGCCATGGTCGGTTGCTGATGGGTTATCCTGCTTGAGCTTGTAGAGGGCGTAGATAAAAGCATTGACGAACGCCTCATCAATTTCTATTATTCATCAGTACTTGATTGCATTTCAATACCCAACTTCTCGCTGATAAGAAGGAGGTAGGCATGACTCACCCTCTGTTGAAGGCGCCTCTTCCTCAGTCACGGGTTCTTCTAACGCGATTGGATCATTGCTTGGTGTTTCAATGTCCCCCAAGGCGGTTGTAGCCCCATCTCCCTCAATTCTCAAATCTTCCATTTGTTCCTCAACGCCCTCAGTTTCATCCTCGTCCCAGCCCTCCAAGTACTCTGGAGCCGGAGGACCCGGCAGTGATGCTGAGCTCCACGCCCAAAGTTCATCACCCTCCCAGTGCAATCCACGTACCGCATGGCCCTTTGTGCCTTGCACCTCGCCCAATGCCGAAACATCGATCTCACAGATGCCTACAAAAAGTGGCACTGTATGTCTGTCCACACTCGCGACCGCGACCACGGCGCCCTTGACCGCCCTTTCGGGGAATGGAGGCTCATTCGCGAGGCCCGGTGTCATCAAGTCAGCTCCACCATGCAGCTTCCCCATCACAAACTCCGGGGTATAGAGTAAGGGAACTAAGTTCGGGTTATGCCATAGTGTATAGACAGTTGGGTATAGTCGTTTGTCGGCCCCTGGGCCGTGTTCCAGCTTGAACCATAGCACCCGCTCGTCACCGTCGGGATGTGTGCCAACATACACGATTCCTTGAAGCTCGCGAAGGTCCGGACCAGCAGTGGTTGTAAATCGAGCAGTCTGAGTGTTGTCGGGCAGGAGGGCATTCCGGATCGATGTAAGGCTTAAGGTAGGGGCAGATGCTGTGCTGGGCTCGGACGAGTCTGCTTTGGTGGGGTTTGAGGTGACGGAGATTTGGTAATCATTGATAATTTGGTCTGCGATCTTCCGACGATCAGAAGACCGTAGTGGAGAGAGATTTTTGATCTATTCTATATTAGCATACAGTGATTTGCAGAGGGAGCTTTACTCCCAGCAAAGCTTGGAGGGGTAGTGCGGGGAAGAGGTCAATTACCGTAGGCTTCTTTTTGAACATAATTGTAAGATCGTAGCTATAAGCTAGAAGGACAGAATATAGTTGAATTCAAACCAGCTGAAGAGCTGGAGAGGAAGAATATGTGAATGAGTCAAGAGGTGAGGTGCGAACAAAGAATCTCCCGGTCCCCACATGGCCCGAAGAGGAAAAGAACTCACCTTTCTAATATTTAGCACACGCAAGAGTAAGAGTATGCGGTCTCTTTCCTTGACGATGTAGGGCTTAAATAATCTGATTTAGCTGCTGTGCATATGGCCCAAGCCGATGTCTGGCACGTTATATGTATAATAATACTCCGAAGTCTTTTTGGACGACTTTCCCAACATATTTTGTACTTCTTAGTTGACGCTGTAGAAGTAAAGCAGAGAGAATAATAGTACGAAGTAAACAGGCCGGTCTTATCACTCTACTGTGTGCGATATACGAAGGCGCGTCCATGTTTCTATCCTCAGGTGTATAATGAGACCTCTAGCTCTGAAAACTACGTCATCTCCGACACCTCTTTAATCATTCTACTTCTTGAGTTTCATTATATACGTGAGGCCTTTCCTCTTTTCATAGTCTTATCTTGTCTCATTACCCACATCCGAGCCCTTCACTACAGGACCATATCCTTCCAATTCTCTAGGCATAAATATTTCACGGCTTGTCGCACATGGGCGATCCAAAGGCCCTGCACATTTCAAGGGACCTCGAACATGTCTGGCACAATGGCTACGAACCCACTCTCCTCGATCCTGCATGCTAGACTACTCCAATCTATGCAAGCTCTCGGGGCGCTTGTTATATTGCTGCTCTTGTGCATTCGAAGGAAATCAAACTCCCAGTTCGTGATTCCGAAACCGAACACGTTGAATGGTCTTCCTGTGGAACTCATACTATTAATATCGGACTTGCTCTCACCCGAGGATATCCTTTGTCTCTCCATGTGCGATCATCGACTTTTCGGGGCCCTGAGTCGCAAAAGGAACTTTCTTCCACTCGTAGCAAGTGACAAGCTGCCATTCCTGCACCGAATCGAACGTGATCTGCCAGGTTATTTTGTGTGCCACTGTTGCTTTCTTCTTCATGAGTTTGACGGATCGGAAAGGTTTGCGATGTCAGGTATACGGTTAGAGTGGCGTTCTCGCCTGCCATGTGTCTCCGGATGGAAATGGGAAACGGTGGGACTCGAAATGCGCATCCATAATCTTATGCTTCATACCGACTACCGACTTTACTTCCTTCAGCTTCAGCTTGTGATGAGACGGTTCTACTGTGGGGATCAGTTCGGTCTTAGCACCGAATCCCTACACCACACTCAGGTCATAGAAAAGGCTGAGGAAACCATTTTATTTTCGATCGAAGCACGGATCTGCCTAGAGCAAATAGGTCTTTGCCTACGAATCCAAGACATTATGTTAGTTGAAGATCGAAAGCTGGATCTGGTTGCCCCCAAGAAATCAATATTGCCTCCACTATTCTTTTGGATCTGCGGGCATTTATCTCACTTGAAACTTTTGGTCCTTGTTCAGTCTATGCTTTCAACATACGTTCCCGGAAACTCGACGTTATTGTTAAGAAGCAGTTGCGACAAATGCAAGACGGATTTTGACCTTGAACTAAGAGAGGACGGTGATGATCTAGCCCTCATTCTTACGAGGTGGATCAACCTGGGCCCTGGCTTGAGTCCAAATGATCCCCAATGGAAGGCTCATTCTCGAACGCTAGGCTATATGGAGCCTGATACTGTGGAACTTGACATGGCTGTGAGTCCTCGGGTCTCATTCGAAACTGCTTGCGATATTTCAAAAGAAACCCTGCGTTCACGTAATTTGTCTTACCTCAAAGTCAAAAGGTACAAAGAGCTAATGAGGCAAATCCGGGGCTACCACAAAACTTGGAGCTTTCCTCGCGATTGAGCGAACGTGCCGAGTGAATTGGCTGAGAAAAATGGCTTCCGATGCTTCACGCCTTGGGATACGTTCACCCGCCTATATCCGCGGCTTACCTGCCTTCGGCTTGTCTTTCTTCCATCTTAACTCTCGCATGCACTTCGACATGATCCACCCCATCCCTTCCGGTCCCTTCTGACAGGTTATGAGTCGCTGCTTCCTTTCATTATTATTTGAAGGTTTCTGCTTCTTTCAACGTCACCACGATCTAGCACATCGCTGTCAGCTGTCAACCACCTTTACGTCCCTTTCTCATCTCTTTTCATCGACCCCAAGACTTCATTTCGCCACACACAACCAATACCATTCTGCTAATGACTTGTCGTGAAATGAAAAGGAGTTGAAATACAGTGAGCTCTGTCTACTTCCATTCCGATGGTCCTCCACTAACTTCTCGGCAGGGAGCCAAAACACGACATGCTACATTGATCTGATAAAATCGTGGCTTAATTCAACGAAATCCTGGCTTCGTTCAGCTACCTCCACAACCTCTCTTTTTTTTAACTGCCTTTTATCGTGTCTTCTAAAGACTTTGATAGCTTCACCGAGCCGACACTTTCGGAACTCGTCCCTATCCTTGCCGCCGACGAGGCTAACCTTGGAAGCTTTCCTTACATTCCCATTTCGTGCCTTGTGACTACATCCCGCTTGAGAGTTCCACATATGAGATACAACCCAAGATGCAACAGAGCCAACTCAGCAGGCTGGGGCATAGATGAGGAGACCTTGGGACCACAAGATAAGAATATGGGCAGCCCCCGGCCGCACGACACCCTAGCTGAATTGTTGGCACAAGAACGAGGGGTGAAAAGGGTCGCGTCCGACGGGACAGCTCAACCGCCAAAGGACGTTGAGTCAGTTTCCCCACGATCCGACACGTTGACCCGCTTTGGAGAACATTGCCACAATCAGAGAATTGGTCAGAAGCACAACGATTACCCCGGGGATAAGGAAGCTGCCAATTGACCTGTCGCCGAGTTGGTCATGAAGGATCGAAACGCTGCAAGAGCCTTTCCGTCCATTCCTACGGAACTAGCTAGCCAGCGCGGCCAGAGAACTATGCAGTACCGACATTGAGAGGATGAAATGACCAGTGAGGATGAACCATTATATTATTATCCCAGAAAAATGAAGACCGCAGGAAAAGGAACCATGACCAAGGACGATGGGTTTCTTCGGGAGTGGGCAGCTGCCACAAGACGGCCTTGATGGCTCCAGCTGTGAGTCTTCCCAAGCTTAGTGTCCAATTCTTACATAGTCTAGCCACCGGATGAGTCTGAATAGAAACGTCTGCCCAATTTCATAACCAGCTAATCTTACTTTTTGTTCGGTAGCATCTCTCTTGTACCGAAAGATAACCAGTTCCGTTCAACTTGTGATAGGTCATTCTAGCAGGTATTCTTAGAAGTGACACACGTCAGGATAGAGATGAGTCTGTGAGTTTTCCCTTGAGTTTTCCCTTTGTACGTAGAAAATATACTTAACGAAGACCTGAATAATCTGAATGTATCGAGATGGTAGGGATCTTAGCATTAATATTACCATGCCTTTTTTCTGCTCTTCTTGTGTTTTTCAGATTTCTTAGATGTCTTTAACGCTTCTTTCCAACTGTCTTTTCGGGGGTTTTTTTAGGCCTCTTTGTAGGTCTCCTTTTTTAGGTCTTTCTTGAATATTCTTTTCTTCACGGGATCTCATGCATTTTGACCTCACTCTTTCCCTTCGGGTTACGAGAGCGCTCTTTCTTCTTTCTTCTTTCTTCCTTATCCTCTGCCCGAGGTGTCTCTTTTTTAACTTCACCGTCCTCTTCCAATCTCCTTTTTTAATTGTATTAAGGGTCCATTTGCCTACAAGAACCACCGCGATTTACCGTGCCCAAAAGAGTTGAAGACAGTGAGCTACGTCCCAATCCCATTCTGCCTGTCCTGCCCTAACCTGTCCCAGCTCACCACGTCTTCTGGAGACTCACCGGAGCCTCGCTGAACTTCGTCCATGTCTTCGTTGGCGAGGCCCACTTTCCTTTACATCCCTCTTCCAGTGCCTTGTGAGTACATCCCGCCTAAGAGATGATGCAACCCAGATGCAACAGAGTCTACTCAGCATGCTATGACAGTTGATGTCGAGAACATAATACAGAATATCGGGCTAATTGAGGCTTTAGCCTGCTGTTCTCACTTGCTCGGCCACAGACGGCCCGCACTCCACTCGAGCGCTTGAAAAAAGAAGCAGCGATACCGAAGACCTGCGCGAGGTCATGCAAAGTCCAAAAGAAAGCATTGTGGAAGCTCTCCAATTTGGCAAGCGGTTTACCGAGTTTCTCGCTACAGACAGAAAGTTATATATCGTGCGACCCCGTATGCTCGAGTATAATGGTTTGACGTATCGAGTAGAGCTATTGAAAAGAAACTCCCTTCCTGCGACAAACGAGCACTCCCTCCCCCCTCCAAAGGAGCCCTCCCCGCCTCCACCTTCAAAGCAGAAACCTACCGCCAGCTCATTCTCCTGGATTACTTGGGCCATAGGCCTAGCCGTAGCGTTAGGCGCCCACTGATAGACCATTTGTGGGAAGAAGTTGGTCGGATACTTAAGGGCGAAGGACTTGGCCCCCTGGTTTAAGAAGTTCCTCGAGAAGGAGGAAGCTCCCACAGAGAAACTTCTTAAAGAAGTTCGGGACTGTTTGAGAAGGTTAGAGGAGCGTATGGCCATGGAAAGGGCCGACGAGGGAGCCCTACGGGACACCTCGCGACAGATTGTAGAGTGTATGGCCAGACAGGAGAGGCCTGAGCAGGAGCCCCAGCAGGTCTTGGAGGTTATCAACAGGCTTGCGCGGCTCAACATATAGGGGTTGTATTCTTATAGCTTCTTTTTCCTGCCGCTCGTAGCCTGGAACTCCTCTAGATCAAAAGAATCAAGACAATTACCGAAAGATAATCAGTTCGACTAATAAAGCCCTTGACCGGGGCAAGAAGACCGTAATCGATGTTATCCTTATTAGTCGTGGCCATTCCATTGATCTATCAATCCCCTTGTGTTATACATCTTGGTCATAGACATAGCTAGTTGTTCGTTTACCGACTGCCCAATTAAAGCATTATTTTACTCCCCATTTCTCTCTTATTAAAACATTGTGCTAGAAGACGGCCCTCGTCTCTACGCTGACGTGTGTCACTTCTAGGAATACCTTGCTGCTAGAACGACCTATCACAAGTTGAACGGAACTGATCATCTTTAAGTACGAGACAGATACTACCGAACTGTCGAAGAGTAATATTAGACGGTTACAAAATTGAAAAGAATTGCAGTATGTACATTGTTCCAAAATGCTAGAAATTACACTGATGAAGGCAGACATATGTACAAGAAATGAATCCCCAAAGCCAAAAGGACCAAAGTCCCAGTCTTCGCTATGCACTGCGATACTCAGAAATTGCTGAATATATGAACGGTGGTGTGAGTAAATCGAACAAGGAATCGTGAAATTGTAGGTGGAGAAATGAGAGCAAGCATCCGATTGTCTCGGTGTGGCCGGTTTGACGGTCTTGTCGATGGGTTCAGGGAATCGACAACTCGAAACCGCCGTTATGTGCATTATTGAACAAATGGTGCTTCATGCAGACCATGGCACGGTATGTGTGTATATGTGCGAGTTCCGGAACCTGTCCGGCTGGATTCGCGTCACCATTTGGTAGGTGCCTCACGTGAGCCTAGCACCAGACTCTTCGCATTCTCTGCTCCTGGTTGAATCTGTGACATCACCCGAGGGGACTTCAAGATGTCTTCGGTTCATCGGCACTATACTTCCAGCGTCGGTGGTTCTCTGCAATCCACCACTGGGAAACATGGGCGGCCTCGCTAAGCCATCTCGCGGCTTCGGGCCCGCTTCGTGTCTGGACGATATCAAACAGAGTCACGATATCGAGGTCTTCGTCGGGATCGAGCTCGAGTGGGTCGGCGACAACATCGGTGAATCGCCATGGGGCATCTTGGATGAGGGGCACGACCAGACGGTAGGGTTTCGCCGCTGCTCGCATAGACACCCACGTTCCTCCAGGGTTCATCGTGGAGAAATGCCATTCTTGCTTCTTACCCTGCTCAGGGATAAGTGGGCGTAGCAACGACTGGCCCTCGTATAAGGGAAGGAGGTCCCTTAATATATGTGCGGACTGTTCGTTGATGTTGGAGGTTTCGATTAGGATGTCGAGGAGGCTAGGAAGAATTTGAGTCGAGAGGACGGCGCCGCTAATTTCGACCGGGGCTAGCTTAGGATGGGCGAAGAGTAGGGGAATGTGAAAACTGCCGACGTGGGGGTCATGGTTGGCCGTTATACCACCATCATTTGGAAGAGATAAACCGCTATAATCAAGTCAATGGAAAGTTTGATAGGCTGTAAGAAATGGGCAGAACTTACTGGTCACCTGCCATGACAAGCAGGGTTTCATCGGCGACTCCAGCCTCGTCGAGAATCTCAAGGATAGAGGCCAGCCAGTCATCCTGATACTTGATGGTATTTAGGTACCGGTTCAACTTACTGTTCCATCCAGCGCCATTTCCGAAGTATTCCTCGTAATCACCAGGCTTGAACCAAGGAGTATGGGTATTGTGGGTTAGATGGCCGATAAAGAGGCGAGTGTTATTCTTCTTGGCCTCGGCAAATGCATCCCGCATATAGTTCTTTAGTGTGTGATCCGGATGACCGTGTTTCTGCTCGTCCTCTGGCTCCTCCGGGATGTATATAGCACCGGCTTCATTGATTGATTCTTTTGTCGTGATGTCTTTGAATCCCATAACAGGAGTAAGATCTTCCTGGTGGTCCCAAGTACCATAGTGGGATTGCATCCACATAGAATGCCATGGCCAGGAGGTCCAATCCTCCGTGTCAGTGGTGATGTTCGATTGTTGGCTCAACGCGTGGAATATGTGCGGCAGGCAAGGCTGGTAAATATCGTGCAGGTATTCAAGATTATCTTGGA